ATGGGGTGTTTATCGTTGCATAACCCAAAGTAATAACAGTTTGGTTGGTCTGAAGACACACGATTACATACAGTTCAGTTTTTAAATATAAGTTTATAATTAAATTTTGATTGAACCAAATAGGGTATTTGTTGTATCATATATAGTTTCTAATAGGCTTTTTAGCCAAAATAATCTCTGATGACATAACTCTTCATTTTAGTTTCTGATATTTGAAATTAATAGAAGTGGTCTTGATTTTGTTCATTGTCAATCATTTTAGTTATTTCATGAAAAATCTTTGTGTTTCATAAGGGCCAAAATGAAAAAAATATTCTCAATTTAATAAACATTGAGTCAAAATGATTTGACAAAAAATTGACAATATTTTATCATTTTCTCCTTATTTAATGGGAATTTCTCATGGAATGACCAAAATGATTAATTGTGGACAAACTCAGGGACAGTTCTATCGATTTTATATCTCAGAGACCAAAAGGAGGAGTTGTGTCAATCTCATAGACTATTTTAGCTAAAAAACCTTTCTAATATTGTAATAATTTTTAAATTATTTTATGGTATGATGATTGTAAGATTGGAGAATAAGTTCTCACATCGATCATATGACAAAATAACAATTATATACAATTAATATATGAGAGTTTTTACCCTTAATATTACCGAGATCTTTTATGATAAAACTTAACACATAGTAATTGGTGGTTAAATTAAGATAATATAAATATATTGGTGGTGGAGTATCTTTGGCCCTATAATGTTTCACAATACAACATGATAAAAGTAAAAAGAACTTAGTACATGGTAGTTGATGGTTAAATTGAGATAATATCAATAAATTTGGGGTGGAGTATCCTTGGCCCTATAATGTTTCACAATACAACATGATAAAACTAGAAAAATCATGTGGTAGAGCTGAGCAACATGGGATCATTGGATCAACAATCATGTCTGGCGTGACAATGGATGTGGTACTGGCCCCACCAAAACAAACCTTTATCATCTACCGTGCAAGTTTAACAAGGGTGGATTGTGTGTGACAGGTTGTACAACAGAAAATAAAAGTGTGTCTGGGAATCTTTTCTACAAAAAATAGAAACAAAATGGCTGCCAAATTATCTGTTGCATTGCATGCTGGCCAAATGTGGTGTTCCACTTTAAAAACAGAACAGAAGCTTCTTTTTATTTTCTATAATTTTTTGATTTTCTTTCTCATGGTTTTTGGAGATTCTGGCTAAGAACCTCTAGCGAAGTTTTTAGTGTAAGTGGTCTGGACTCATCTTATTAACATTAGTCCGGCATGATAACAAACACAAGATTAAACTAATAGTTAGTCTAACCTAGTTCAATGACAACTAATAAAGGTAAACAAACATCCCATTAAAGTTACTATATTCTACCTTTTGACGACAACAAAAAGGTGATCCCCCCCCCAAAAAAAGGACAACAACAAAAAAAAAGAAAATTAAAAGCTACTTTTGTGATTATTCAAAATTTTGCTTTCATTTTTCATTTTTTAAAAAGTTGAAAAACATAAAATTAAAAATTGAAATAATTTTCAAACAGATTTCTGATTTTACTAATTGCCCCTACTTTTTTAGTAAACATGAAGATAATTAAAAACACCAGCTCCTTTGTAAATTCATAAAATGAGATTAAGACAATAACACTAGTTGGCTTTTTTATGTTTGTGCCCATTCTTCGTTTTAGGAATGCTAATGTGGATATTGTTAGGATAACTCGACTCAAATACAATACCAAATTATTGTGCTTTACGACTTTTACACGAATATAAGAAGTCTTTTAAATCAAGAAAAATAAGAGCTCATTTGAATGTGCTTTTAAAATGACTGAAAGCGCTTTTGGAGGAAATGTTTTTATGTTCCAAAAGCACTTGAAGTGCTATATACAAGAAGCACCGGTTATATGTTTCTTCTAGGAAGCACTTTAAGTGCTTTCCTAGAATTTACTTGCATTTTTACAAATAATTGTTTTAAAAAATATTTTCACCAAAAGCTGTTTCAGTCATTTTAAAAATATTTCCAAACAGATTCTAAGAAAACGATATTGATTTAAGGCTAGTTTGGGGTTTTTCAATTTTTTTAAAAGCAAATTCTTTAAAAATTGGAGTTAAAAATTGTGTTGGTAAAAGAAAAAAAATATCTATATATATATATATTTTTTCAAAATCATGGGTCTAAAACAGTAGAAAATGAAGCAGCTTTAACTATACTTCTCAAATAAATTTTTTTTTTTTTTATAGGAGGCGCACGAACAGTAACCTTTAATAAAACTTTCATATTGACAATACTACCCTTTTTTCTTTTTTCGTTTATTTTGCTAAAAACACTTTTAGCACTATAATTTATCAAACACTTGGTTGCTTTTTTTCACCGCAGTTTATTCTCACAGTACAGTAGAAACATTTTTAAAGAAACAACATAACAATCTCAAACTAGCCCATATTCTAGTCTTCCTACATTGTTACACATTTCTCAATTCTTTTCCATGTGTTGGATTTCTTCTAATTGGTCCACCTTTTATCTATTAATCCTGATAATAATATTACAAGATAGCACATTAAATTCAAAATCTCATGGAAATTATTTTTTGAAATAGCCAAAATACACAGGATGGTTGGTTAATTACTATATTCCACTGTATGATGATAATTTTGAGAGAAACTTTTAATTTAGTGACTAAATAAAAAGGAATCTTTTCACAAAGTTTTGAATTTTTTAACAAACGATATTATCTACGATAAGGGTGTCTGTATAAACTCACAATGTACTAGCAATAATGTGGTTCAAATTCGTCATTGGTGAGAATTGAACTTAAGATTTCTCACTCACAAATAAAGAGAAATATCATTAGACTGTAGTACTAAGTGACTTCATCAATCTTGAATTACAAGAGGTTCTTTGACTGTTTGAATAGCCAATTAAATAGACGAAACTTGTTTGCCTCAAGAAAAATAAAAGGTTTTGTTCAAAAAATAAAAAAAAATAAAAGGTGAACAAGTGATGAATTTTCTTGGTAGATAGAGCATTTCATTTTAATTATTGTGTTTTGAGTTCGAACTTTCCTTTTTTTTTTTTTTTTGCGCAAATAATTCACTAGTGATCCCACTCTTTATACAAAATGATGGAAGAATTATAGAAGAGATTTGAAATTTATGCGGTTTAGAGTGTGTTTAATATTGCAGTCAAATTGAATTGACGCATGGTAAAATTCAATGTAACTAGAAAAATCAAACAATTTTGATCATCTTCAAATACTTTGATGGCCTTGATTTAGTTTACTTGTTTGAACAAATCTAAAACCCATCAAGTGACACATAATGCACAGAGATTCTACCAAACAGCCGAGGATGTATCGCCCTTCATATGTCTTTCATTGACCTGAATATGATACGTCTCACTTTCATTCAAAAATCTTCATAATTTTTTATTGAGATTATCAAATCATTATATAGTGTTACCAATTTACTCATATAAACTAATAATCGTTATATAGTATTACCAGTTTACTCATATAAACTAATAATATTATGTGGCTAATAATCACGCTACATTCTAAACTCCTTACGTGACACAATATAAGTGGTTAATTATCGCTAGGATATGTACAACGTGTACCCGAAGGAAAAAGATTCTCGTTGGATCATTTTTCAGAGGATTCCGTGATCGTGACCGTTCATCGTATATCGTGCGATCAATTTTTATTAGGTACTATTTATATTTAATTTTAAATTTTAAATTTTAAAATAATTTCTGATCGCAGAATATATAATAAACGATCATAATCACGAAATTTCTAAGAAAATGATCCAGATGCTTTTCCGTCCTCGAAACACGCGGCAAGTTGAATCAACTGGATTGAGATTTGAATAGGCACAGCATCCAGCGAATTTGGCAAGCAGGTCATGAATTGAAATGAAAGTTGAACGTATGCATGGGTATGGGCATGTTGGGTATGCCCATGATCATGTATTTGGCATGCATGGCATGGGAAGCAAATCTTAAAAGCGAATCAAAAGAAATTGCCCTCTCTCCTTCCGCACCCGGCGAAAAAGCACCTCTGCTTACGTCACCTGTATCTCTTGGGGATTTTCACGGGCCCACCTCCTCCACCACCATCCCACCCTCTCCTCTCTCTCTCTCTACTCCGACCCTTCACCCTTTAATTTAATTTCGAGTAATGTTATTGACACATGTTTTTTTATCTTTTTATACATTTTTCTTAATTTTAAGTTATTGAATCAAATAAATTAAACAAAATTATGATTAAGTCAATGTGAGGTTTAATTTGTATTTTTTCACCTTTTTAGTATTAATAATATATTATGTTAAAAAAATATAAAAAATATGTGAATACTCTAATATCCTTATTCTTTTTTCGAGTACAAATATATTTTACACTAAAAAAAAAAGAAAGTTTGAATAAACCATATAATGAACAACAAATACCCCTACCTTTTAATTTGCTTCAGTCCACACAAAACTTTCTAGCATTTTTTTCAATAATTTGAATTAATATGTAGTTCGAAAAACAAAAATTCATAATTAAATAAAAAAATACTATTATTCTTACTAATCAATTTTCACACAAAATGTCTATGGACTAGGATTTTCTTCTCTCTTCTTTCCATTCCTTCCTCTTACATTCTCTCTTTTATCTTTATCTTTTTATAAAAAATGAATATAAAATGGTAACGTGACTTAAGCATGACTGTTCAAATAGAAGGAGAGAGAATAGGAGAAAAAAAAAGAGAGAAAAAAGAATCCTAATGCAATGTCTACACCCTCCTCCTTTAGTCATTTGTATAAAAATACATACAACCCACCACTACTCCTCCCTCCCTCCCGGCTCGACCAAAAATAAAATAAAAATATTAATTTCATTGGGATTATTAAATTAATTTTGTCATTTCCTTTTTCTTTTCACATTGCTTGCCCTGTAATTCAAAAAATAAAGTTGGAAAAAATTAACAAGATTTGGGGTGAAACACTGAAATCTGGTCGGGTCTTGCTTTGTGGGATGTGGATATTGGTGGGTCTTCCTCTTCTTATTTCAATACAACAAACCTGCCTTGTTTCTCATTTCCTCCTCCTCCCATAGAAAAAACAGCACCAACACCATACAAAAACAATTTTAGCTTTTTCTTTTGGTATTTGCTTTCTTCTTCATCAGTGAGAAATGGGGATGTCTGCCACAGATTCACAGTTTCACGTTCTAGCTGTTGATGACAGCGTCATCGATCGAAAGCTGATCGAGAGGCTCCTCAAGACCTCATCGTACCAAGGTAAATAAACCCCTGCACTCGACGTTTCGAGTTCCATTTTTTCCTTTCCTGAATAAACCCCCTGATGAAATTTCAAGTGTTGGGTTCTCGTTGTTTTACTATATTAACGTTGGGTTTTGGACGTTGAATGCAGTTACTACAGTTGATTCTGGTAGCAAGGCTCTTGAGTTTCTGGGTTTGTATGAGGATGAACAAAGCAGTTCAGATTCACCTTCTGTCTCCCCAAACAATCAACAGGTCCTCTCTCAATCTCTCAAATTCCCAATCTTTTGATTACTTTTCTCTTTTTTCCTTTCCCTTGTTTTTTTTTTTTTTTTTGTAAAAATATTAATAAAAAAAATATGGGTTTCTAAATTTGATTGGTTTTCTCTCTGTGGTTGTGCAGGAAGTGGGAGTGAATCTTGTAATTACAGACTACTGTATGCCTGGAATGACAGGATATGATTTGCTCAAGAAAATCAAGGTATGCTCTTTTAGTTTTTATTTGTTTATTTTTTTTATATTGCCTTGCATGTTTTCTTTTCCTCGATCTTTCCCCATTGAGTTTTCTTCCATCTGTCCAATGGAGTTTTACAATTGTCCAATTGCCCACTTGGGTTTAAACTATCAATTAAAATCCCCTGGAATATTTGCCCACCAAATTTTCAACCCAAAAATAAATCAGGTTCCAGATGTCAGTCACAAGATTTCCTCTGTCACATTCCAAAAAGTTCACAGGATTTTTTGTTTTTGTGGATTTTTCAGGAGTCTTCATCTCTGAGGAACATACCTGTTGTGATCATGTCATCTGAGAATGTGCCTTCAAGAATCACCAGGTACCTTTTCTGTCCTTTTCTGTTCTGCAGTCCTTGTATTTCCGTCTCTTGATTCTCCTTTATCCAAACGTAAAGAAAAATGAAAAAGGGAGGAACAGAGTGAACGGAAAAAGAAAAAAAACAGAGAGTGCAGAAATCACTTTCCTTAAAAAATGGTAGGAAAATTTGAATTGTGAAGTTTAATTGATTAACTTTTTGGTTAATAACAGATGCTTGGAAGAAGGGGCTGAGGAGTTTTTCTTAAAGCCAGTGAGACTATCAGACTTGAGTAGGCTTAGACCCCATTTGATGAAATCCAAGTCCAGCAATCAAAACCAAGAAAAACAAGAAGATGAATCTGAAAACTCAGAGACTCAATCACAGGAGCAGGATCATGAACTAGAACAGCAACAACCGCAAACGATGCCGCCCAACAATAACAAGAGGAAGGCAATGGAAGAGGGGCTTTCACCTGATAGAACTAGACCCAGATACAGTGGGATCGCCACTCTGGTTTGATTTCCATTGTTTTTTTTTTTTTTCTCCTGATGATTTGAACAATGTAATTTTACTACCTTTTATCTCCTTTCTTTTTTTTTTTTCCTTTTTTTTTATTTTTTTTTATTTTTTATTTTTCATTTCAGCTGCTGGTTGATACTGGCCGAAATGAGTGTAGAGGGTTTTTTTTTCATGTATACAATTTACATGAAAATAGTTACATTCCAATTTTGTTGTGCTACTTTGATTAATGAGATAAAGTAAAAAAATTAAATAAATAAATTGATGTATAATGAAACAGGGTTACTTTGATCAACAGAGTGTTTCCTTATTTCCGCTTTTTGCTTTTCTAAAAAATTGCACTTAAATTGGTGCATCCCAATTCATAACTGGCCTGCAATCACAGTATGTGGAAATGAATTGAGTTTTTGTGGGAATCGAATATTTAATCTAACAAAATCTTTGATTTGATAAAAAAAAAATCATAACTGGCCTGAATATAAAAGGTTTAAGACTCGAAGTTCCTAAATTGGTTAGAGCAGTGTGATTCTCTTACTTGACTCAAGTTCGAAGCCTCTCTTCTCAATTTAAATTAGATTAGTTTTGAAGAAAATTGAGATTCTAATATAAAATTAATTGATAATATGAAAAATAGCTCAACTTATTAACGCTATGCAGAGTTTCTCTTCCTATCAGTATGAGATTTATTTTCAACACATCCCTCATGTGGTGATTTTCAAGCCTAAACATATAGACAACACAACGAGATGACATGGCGCACTTGTGGCCGTTGAGCTTCATGTGTTGGACAATCTGCTTTGATATCATAAAGAAAATTGAGGTTCCACCATAAAACTAATTAGTAATATAAAAAGTAGCTCAACTTACTTAAGTATGTTCGTTATCTCATCAATGTGACATTCATTCTCAGCAAAATTAAATAAAAATTATTGTGTTTTTTGTCTAGATCAAGTCAAGCTCAACCAGTCACCTAATTGCAAAAGCATGTGGCACATGATTTGCCTCCTCAGTCTGAAACCAAAAGAAAACAGCATTATCTTTCACATCCTCCTCGATATCAATATTCTACAACCGTTCATGGAACCGGGTGCATACGTCTTGTTTTTCTAGTCTTTATTCTCATGTGAGTTGGGGTGGCCGGAGTGCCTTGCAAGTGGCGAGGTGAGCCCCTAGAATTTTCGACAAGAACATTTTCTGATTTGCGGTGGGCTAGAGCACACCCGAGTCCCTACCCCAGCCTGTCATGACATGCCCCCAAAACTTCACCCTTGTCATTCTGACGACGGCTAGGGCTTGAAAGATGACCTTCAACCTGAAGAACCACCCCAGCGGGCCGAATCAAAAAGTGTAAGTGGTGGGTCATGCAAAGCCTATCCAAAAGCTCGAGCAAGTTAAGCCTGGCTTTGCACCATAGAGCAAGATTGACGTCAGCCACATTTTGTAATTTACGTGCAACAAAACAACCCAAAAAAAAAATTATTTGTAAATAGTATTCGTCTTTAGCCAACAAGTAGAGTTGCACAAATACAAATACTATTGAGAGTGAATAGTAAGAGCAATTTACATGGCTCTTGCCCTTTAGACCAACTCCCATGGTGGGCTAAAAGCCAAATTACCCTCCAAAATTTCCCCCCAAACCCACGCCAACCCAAGGGGAAATTTTGGGCTAAATGCTAAATGCTAAACCAATGCTAAATTCCCCCCCAAAATTGAGCCCATAAATCGGAGTGGACTACACCCAATATTTATCGGAATTTAAATTTTTTTAGATTAAAATATTTATAAAATTAATTTACGATGGTCTACATATTTATTTATTTTTTTTAAATTTAATTTAACAAAAAAAAAATAGTCTAAGTTCATTCTTTAATAATTCCGGGTTAAAATTTTAGGCTATAATGGTTGGAGCAGAAAATTTATTTATGGACTAAAAGCTAAATTTTTCGGACTAAAAAATTTGATTTTTAGCCTAACCATTGAAGATGGTCTTCGAGGATGAAACTGCTCTCCATGAGAGTCATCACAGCCATACCTATGACAATTGAGTTTTAAAAGTCCATCACCATATATAGGCTTATCCACATTAATTAATCAAATTAATGGAGCATAAATTTGAAAAAAGTATTAATTCAAGTCTTGTTTGACACAACGAGTGCTTTCTTTCGTACTAAATAAGCACCGATTATTTTCTCCAAGCCATCTCGCCATCTGCTCTGCACATCACCAACTTCTCAAGGTATTCTTTCTCTCGCTCTTTCTCCATCCCCACCTCCGATCAGCATCAAGCAAATTTCAAACGGAGAGCTTGTAGATCGAACTCAAATCACGCCGGGAGACGTTATCTGAAGTTTTGGCTGAACTGTTCGTTGATTTTGTTGATCTGTGGTGATTAAACTCAAAACTGGGGCAAGATTTCATCTGGGTTTTTATTTCAACGGATTAGAAACTTAGAGCTGGGCGAGATTTTATCTAGGTCTTTTAATTTAATGGATTAGAAGCTCAAAATTGGGTTTTTGGTTGCAAGGATTCCCCTGGAAGGATGGAATTGATGATTTTTTAAGTGCGTTTCATTTCTGAATGAATGAATCTGGAGGTTTGCTTCTGTAAATTGAACCCGCCTGTCTGTGCTGGGTTCTTTCTGCGCCGCTGCTTGACACCATCCACCCACGCTGGTGTAATGGCTGCTGGGGTTCTTTCTGCATTTGACAACATTGTTTTTTTTTCTTTTCCAGTAATCATCAAACTGGGTTTTTTTTTTTTTTTTTTTTTTTTTTTTTTTTTTTTTTGCATTTGACAACTTTGTTTTTTATTCTTTTTCTTTTTCATTAATAATTAATTTTTTTTCTCTTAAAAAAATAATAGTTCTAAGTTTTCATATCCAGTATCGTACAAGCACAGCATAAATAAGAGTTAATTGGATTTAAATGCTAAAAATTTGAATTTCTTTTTTTAAATATTCCTACCTTTTAGAATTTAGATCAAGCCTCATTGGTACATTAGGCCACATCAGTATTTCTTATTTTTTAAATTAAAAATAATAATTGTATTTTTTTTAAATTAAAATTTTACATATTGATTTCTAAATTTGTCCTTTTAACTAGTTGAGAGAATTTTTTTTATATCCGGCCATTTTTTTCATTCATGTATTTTAGGAGTTGTGGACTCTTGTTTTAGGAGATAATTTTGGTTTTTTCGCTCAACATTTTTATCCAATTATCTCTTTTAATTTTTGTTTTCGTTAAAAACTGTGACATCCCACATCACTAGGTGAGTGATCCTTATATGTATATTCCATCCCTACCTAGCACGAGGCCTTTTGGGAGCTCACTGGCTTCGGGTTCCGTAGGAACTTCGAAGTTAAGCGAGTAGCGCGCGAGAGCATTCCCAGGATGGGTGACCCATCAGGAAGTTCTCATGTGAGTTCCCAAAAACAAAACCGTGAGGGCGTGGTCGGGGCCCAAAGCGGACAATATCGTGCTACGGTGGTGGAGCGGGGCCGGGAAGTGATCCGCCCCGGGCCGGGATGTGACATTTGGTATCAAAGCCTAACCCTGGCCGTGCTGTGCCGACGAGGACGTCGGGCCCCTAAGGGGGTGGATTGTGACATCCCACATCACCAGGGGAGTGATCCTTATATGTATATTCCATCCCTACCTAGCACGAGGCCTTTTGGGAGCTCACTGGCTTCGGGTTTCGTAGGAACTCCGAAGTTAAGCGAGTAGCGCGCGAGAGCATTCCCAGGATGGGTGACCCATCGGGAAGTTCTCATGTGAGTTCCAAAAAACAAAACCGTGAGGGCGTGGTCGGGGCCCAAAGCGGACAATATCGTGCTACGGTGGTGGAGCGGGCCCGGGAAGTGATCCGTCCGGGGCCGGGATGTGACAAAAACAGCTTTTTATCCTAAAATTGAAAAAAAATGATGGAGGCTTAGATTTTTTTTGTTTGTTTATTATTTAGTATAATTTTTGTTACTTAATTTTTTTGTATACATTTGAATTTGTACATATTGTTGATCAGTGATAATGGTACGTTGATTGTTGGTTATCATATATTGGTTTTGTATTGATTGGTACATTTATTTTTAATTTTTAGGTTTACATATCGTTGATTGGTACGTTTAGTTTTAGCTTTTGGTACGTTTAGTTTTAGCTTCTGGTATGTTTAGTTTTGTTCTCATTGATTGATAGGTTTTTTTCATGATTTTGTTACGATAGTTTCTGTATACATTATGGATTGTACCATTTGGTATCATATGGGTACGATTAATATTATACATATTGTTGATTGGTACATTTACTTTTGTTCTTCAATGTTGTTTACTAGTATGTTTATTTCCGGTTTTAGTAGGCTTGTTTTCATACATATTTTTTATTGGTACGTTTGTATTATTCTCGATGTTATTTTCTTATATGAATTACTACAAAAATTTATATATGGATTACTACAAATATCTTAAATGGTATTTTATTTCTTCATTGAAAGGGGGAAAAAAATCAAATGGCAGGGTATTTTATTACTTTATAAATTGCACATAATCATTTTTTTTTTTTGTATAATTATCTTTAGAGGGAATCAAAGGAGTTAGATTGTAAGAAATTTGTTTCAATATCTCTACAGTTTTTTCTGACGTGAAGAATTTAGGCGTGGTAAGATTTGTAATTTTAGTACAAATAAAGGATAGTTATGATAGATGAAATTTTAAATTTGTAGGAAAAATATTTAATTAAATCTCTAAAACCAACAAATGTTTAGTCTATAGAGTTGAAAACTCAGGCACTTATATCAAAACACCCCTATAAATAATATGACTATTAGTTTGATATTGTACCAAACACTTGATTAATTAGTCAGTACTATGCGATGATAAATTATCCTATATGACTGAAAAAATCAGTACAGTCCGAGCTGCTAAACGAGACCTCGGTATACTAATGGACCCAAGCAAGCCATTTTGGGGGCGTTTGTTTGCCCTCACTAAGTTGGACTGGACTGGACTGGACTAACTATTAGTCCAATACTGTGTTTGTTCCATGCTGGGACTAACATTAATGAGACTAAAGGGAATTAGCATGGACAAAACCCTTCACTAAGAGGTCTTAGCGAGACCCCCCAATAACCATGGGACTAGCTAAGACTATCCATCTTTCTCGTCCTCGTCATGCTCAACGACCACTCTCGACAGACTCCTCATCATCTCCGATCACCTAGATCAATCATTAACTTTCCGACTCTCTTTCAAATCCATTTCACAACCAACTTTCATACAAAATATACCAAATTGAAGCTGGGAGTGAC